CAAAATTGGCCACTTTAGGAAATATTTCTAGTCTGCTGGGGCCTCCATTGGTGTCATGTACTGCCCCTCTTCCCTCAGATGGAATTAGGTCATTCCCAAGTTCAAATAGTTAATATTTCTGCATGTCTGCGTGTGCTTGTACACTTGTACACAGACATGTGAATATACAGTACAAGTGTGTAGCTTACATTGCATGTTTATAATATCAAGTTCTTTGCCTTTCTCTAATGCTGTCTTTCTCTGGTTTATCGTCCCCCGGCGATGGGAGCCCACATTCCAGGGCTGGCCATTAGCAATGTGGGGGCCAAGGCAGGGTCAGAGGGGATCAAATGCCGGGATTGTTCTTCATGCACAACACGCCTTTTCTCTACTAGCTGTGCAGCACCGCAGTTCCAAACAGTCCCTCATTCCTCCAAACTGAATTCACTAATAGGCTGCATCTGTGTCTGCCAGCATTTGCACAGGGGCACAGATATTATTTTGGATCATGCATGCGTGAGAATGTCGTCAGTGGACAATGGATTTGCTGAACCCGCTCTTGCCGATTTGTTGGATATTAACACAGGAAGTGCTGCTGTGCTCTTAAAAAAGAGGCGGTAAGTTTTAAGGCACAACGGTGCACTTAATAGAGTTTGGTTTTAGAGGGTCCTGTTCTGTTTTTGCGGTATGGACAAAAAAGATTTTGCACCATGAGGAAGGTAGTTTCTAGTTTTCAAAGTTTAAGTGCATCTCCCAAGTTGTGGGAACGATCCTCAAAGTAATATGTGAAGTGAAATGGCAATTGTGATGGTGGAATTGTTGTTTGGACTTGTTTTTGAAAGTGGCCTTTCAGCCCTGCTTGATTAATGGCCTCATAAGTTTGGCTGTCTTTCTCTGTGTGGCTCTGGTGTTCATCAGAGCTGGGTTGGGACCTATATATTACTGTCGCCTCTTTACCATCTCCTGTTACTTTTCTCCTTCTGTCGCACACAGAAAAGACCAACTCATGTGGGTTAACTACAAAAGCAGTTGGCTGAACCAAGTCATCCCAACACATCAGTCATATAACAAAGTGACTTCATATGAAACAGTTTCTTCTTGGTAATTATTTATAGTAGTGGAGTCCAGGACTCAATGCCAATCCAACTTTTGCTGGAGTCACTCACTCACTTTTTTACCTTCTCTTTTATCAGTCCTCTTGGATAGAGACTTGTTATTACACCATATTCTCTGAGGTTAATACTCTTGAGCACCACCCAGAACAAATGGAAAGTCACAGGAATCACAACTGCAGCCAGAATTGTGTGGTTCAGTGGAGGAGTTGTCAGGGAGGACTGGGCTGTGGGACAGTAGAGTTATGGAATTTGAGCACCTCTTTCTGCAGTTTCAGTTCAAACTAATTGCAGTACTTCAGCTTTGGTCTGCTCTGCTGACCTGACAGAAAACCTCTGAAAGTGGTGAGGTGATGCTAAAGGGAGAAATGCCTGACAGAACTGACTTGCATGATGCTACATTGATTAATGCTGTTTCCTTTTCCATATGGGAAATAATTAAGGTTTTGTAAACACACGATTCCCTGCAGGAATTGAAAGGTCATCATGCTGTTTTGGTGATGTGGTTCCATCAAGGATTTGGGGACAGTGTCCGATCTGCTCTGCTCCAATGAAACCACAGTTATTAACATCATCCCTACTGCATGTCAGCAGCCTCTGAGCCTTGCTTGTGGTCTAGACTCAACAACAGAGAAAGCGGTTTCTTGCTTGTTAGATTTAGAGTTGCAAGAGATGACTGCATTTTATTAGACACAGAGCTAAGCCCTGCAGGTCTGCTCTGTCCTGTATTGTGCGATTGTGTGTTCTTCCGCAAGCGATAGTTAACCATGCCAATGGTAGCGTGTCATCAGAGAGGTGGTGTTGCTGTGGAAACCAGTGCCAAACAAAAACAAATTAAAGTTGTTTAAGTTCCATGATTATAAGGGTAGTTTCTGCCAAACAGTCTTCATGCGAAAGCTCATCTCATCACCATCATTACCTCAAGACCATAGCACACAGCTTGGGGTGTTTCTGTGTGTATGTGTGTAGCGCAAATAAGGCTTTTGGTGTGTGAGTGATGAAACTGTTAATGACTTCATTAATCTGTCTCTTTTCACCCCACTGCCACTGTGCAGAGAGTTTAAATGCAGTGGCCATCAACCCCCAAAAAAAGAGAGGATGGTGACGCCTGTAATATATGACCATTGTCTTTTGTTTTCCTTCGGAGTGAATGGCTTCTGAGGCAGTATAACACCAAATAAAGCATTTACTGTAACACTGATTCATTGTGTCATGCAGTTATATCCATTTTTTATTGCTGTGTCATCTGGTTCATTATTTCAGTGCGGGGTTTTTTTCTGTTTACTGTGAATATGGGCTTGACACAATGCAGTGTGCTGCCATCCTTCCTCCAGTCCTCCATTTCTCACATCACTAACTTTGGCTCCATCCTAAACAATGCTGTGACCTGTTGCATTTATAACAGCATCCTTAAAAGTATATTTGTCAAAGTGTGGTTTATTTAATCCATTTATTTGTTCTTACCATTTTTTATATTAAAATTCAGTTAAAAACCAAAGCCATTCATTCCTGTTACAGCTTCTTTCGTGAATCATTACACTGACCTGGAAAGAAGATCTTCCCTCCCTTTACCCATTTCTTTTTACATAGGATTTTGTCTAACATAGTGTTTGATTGTCTGTTCCTTTTTATTATATCATCCCTCCCTACTCTCTCCCACCAGTCTCGTGAACAGTCAGACGATGAGCAATCGGAGGACTCAGTGAAGTTTAAGCGGCTTCATAAATTGGTTAACTCGACACGCCGGGTCAGGAAAAAACTCATCAAGGTGGAAGAGGTCAAGAAACATGGCTCTGAAGGTTGGTGACTCTTAAATGATGAATTCCTGTGGTTATCTTAGAGTTCAAATTTGTTTATAACAATCAACTGATGTTTGCGTGTCATATTTTTTTAGGCACATGAAGGTCATGGTTTTAGGCATCCTACTTGCACTGTATCCAAATTTTAATACTGCTTGTGTTACTTGCAAAAATTGAATGTTGAAAAATCAGTTTTAAGCACTAAATTGAGCTTTTGATCCTCACTAAAATGAAATAAAATTTAATAGTGCATTGTTTCCATCTCAAGTTGTATTTCCATTTGAAGGTTATTAGAAATGAATAAGTAGTGTTAGAAGCAAAGCTTTTTTCCCCCAAAGTACTGTACATATTATATTCTCATCTGTCATGAGTTTTGCCTGATAGTCAGACCTTAAGAATGTGTTTTGAAATGTTTTGCTGTCTAGCTGTGGTCTGGAAAACCACAGATGGGTCATGAGACTGTACAGAATCTCATCTCTAAATCCTAAGTAACAACCTTTCTGATGTTTCTGTCTTTTACTTTAGATTTTCTGAATCTGGAAGCAGCTCCCACCTGTGAGGACAACACAGCTCTGTATACAGGGGTCCTAAAGAAGCCCCCTTTACCCAAGGAGGCCTCTCTGCCCTCCCTCACCCAGGATCAACTCTCTCTGGATGGAGACACAGACAGTCTGACCACCTCCCCTTCCTCCAGCAGCCTGGACACCTGGTCCGGACACAAGCTGGTCAAAACCTTCAATAAGTCTTCCAGTACCCACGGTCTCATCCGGCCCCCCAGGAGAACACCGGTTGGTTCCGGGGGCTTAGGAGGCTCCATCTCCGGCATTGGAGGTAGTGGCTCTTCCTTCTCAGAATTGGATGGCTGTGGATTGGATGACGAGGGAAAATTGTCACGGCCCACAACCAACAGCGAGATGCGGAAGGCCCTCAGCTCCATCTCCCATGGGGTAAGTAACAACGAGGCCCTCTACGCCTTCTATGGCCTCACCAAACCTCGTCCTAAACCGCACACCCAGTCCCGCCTCCTGATCTCCCTGGATGATGGTCCACAAGGCAGCCCCAAACCCCAAACTGCCAACCGACACCATGGCAGCTGGGCGCACCGGAAGCCTGACCCTAACTATGCTTACTCTACCAAGCACCTACTGTACCAGCGCTCGCGCAATGCCAAGGCCCCTGTCTCCCCCCTTTCTGTCACTCCCTCCTCCCCTGCTCGCTGTGATGTAGCCAAATCAAAGGGTTTTGGAAGTGGGGGAGGGAGCTGGGTGTTCCCCTCTCGCAGGCTGCGTGGTCGAACAGCAGTCAGTGAGCTGAACATCACCTATGTTGTTGAACGGAGCCTGTACGGTCACCTCAACTGGGCCCAGCTGGTCCGCCCAGTCACCCTCAGCCGCGCTGAGCGCCGCTGTCTATTGGAGGAGGACCGCGAGGCAGACAGGAAGTGGGCTGCCAGTGTGGACCGCTGCACCAAGCGTGTGCTCTTGCGCATCCAGCAGAAGTCTGTGAGTTTGGTCCATGAAGTTAAATCGACCGCCTCGTGTGAGCAGGACTCGGTGTACTTCAAAGTTGCAGAATAGCTCAGGGGTTATAGTGGAAAGTGTAGCAAACAAACACATGCAAAAGAGACATAACAGGTCAATTGTCTTAAACTCATTAATTTAATATAGCCTGTTTGGGGGGAAAATGTCCATATTGAAGTATTGTTGCCGTGCATGTATTGAAAACAGCACAAATTGGCATATCTATCACAGACCTACTGTGTGAATGCCCTTGGAGGATTATCATCATCTTTGACCTTTAAGTGAATGCCTTTGGCTTTAAACCTTTTTTATTTCAAGTGAATATGAAATTATTATGGAAAGTGCAGTGCCCCATTTTGGAGGTTTTATAACTGCCTTTTATAAATGTCAGGTCCCTGGAGAACACACACACACAGTCACACTAATCCCTGTGGGCAGAGGAGATGTTATACAAGCTTGAAGCTGCTTGTCCTTAGAAGCTGCACAGCACTTAGCCTCAAAGACATACTAAGTGAATGACTGAAGTTTCTTTACACTTATCAGCTTTCAAAGTGATCATGTATGGCTGAGTATAGCAACAGAAAAGTGGAAACAACTAGTGCTTAATTACTTGTAGCACAGTAAATGGAAAAGGCCAACTTTGTAATGTTAAGCAGTATGAAGAGGTTTGATTGTCTTGCAGTCGCCTTAACCGTTGTAGCCTGTGTGTATCAACAGAAGTAGTGACACATATCTAGGTGGTGATATAGAAGAGCTATCTTGCAGCTTTGAGGGAACCTGAATCCTATCGTGTTCTAGTGAAATCACTGGAGATCGTTCTCATCCAAAAATTCTCTGAATCCACTTTTTCTGTTTTTGCTTTTCATGTCCTTTTTTTGGCCCGTGCCTCTATGGTTGCAGATGTTTTTTTGTTTGTTTGTATATTTCTTTCCTCGTTATTATCTTCAAAAGACTTTTGTTTTCTGGGTGCATGTTCATTTCATCGAACATTGACATCACAGTTTTTTGTTTGGACGTCTCTTGAAACATATTTGTTCTCCAAACTGCTTTTCCTAGGAAGGGGACTGCAGCTGTAAGTGGACTGCAGCTGTGGACATCTAATATAAAAACATTTCTCTTAATGTGCATTTTATTTTCACGTGGAGATTTTTGTTTTACCCAGGGTTTGTGAGATTATAATTGGGTCGCTTAAAAGTTTTTGGAGCCAAAGATAAATGTCTTCAATTGTCCCACTTGAACTTGAGCATTTTTGGCAAATGCTTTACTTGCATGTCTGTCTTTATGTTTGTTTGTGACCTATTGCGGAGCTTGAGGAAGATTTAGAAACTCTTTTTCCTTGTATGACATGGTTCCCATGTGTGTCTTCCCCTTATCTTGCTCCTAACCTCTAAAGTCAAGAAAAATCTTTACATCACCTTGTAGCAGAAGTCATTTGCTCGCTCTGAAAATGTTTGAGTAACATATTGTCAGTCCTAAGCAATTGGCCTATATGTTGAGTTTTTTCATGCTAAGCTCAGTCTTGCATTTATCATAACTAACCACAAGACAAATTGCATCAGGCTAAAATGCAATAAACATGCATTCACTTTGGCCACATCCAGAACGGCTTTATTTAGTTCAGTATTTTCTCCAGGGATTTGGGTTTTTAGAGCACATGACCAACTTGTTGATGCCAACTGTGTCTCTCCACAGACAGTGTAACAGCTAGAGCCTTGCAGCAACTTGCAGTTTTAAAGAGGAGCTTGTATAACAATTTGTGTTACATCATGTCTGTTGGCTGTCCACAGTCCCATACGACATCATGCCCCCCACCCCCATAGTGTACAGTATATACAAACCATATACCCATGTACATGCGTCAAACAACTGCCTGTGCTGTGCTGAGCATGAATCGGTGTCAGTTGACCCTTAATGCCTGTGGACAGGGAGTTCCTTTAATGTGACCTCCTCATGTTCTTGTGTTTTGGCTCTCCCACAGAGAACATGCAGCTTTGGAGGCTTTGACCTGTCCAATCGTTCGCTCCATGTGGTCAACACAGGCTCCGAAGCCAACGTGAGTCCTGACAGTTTGTAAAATTCACAAGATGAACTCTCCTGCCATGCTAACTTACATTTTCTCCTCTTTTTTTCCTCTCATGTTTTTATAATCTTCCTGCTCTTTGTTTTCTGCTATTCAATCTCCCCCGATTTATCCCCGTCTTCTTTCATTCTTACCTGTCTGTCCGCTGTCCATCCTTTTTTTCAAATAACAGAATAAAGAACAGGAGCCTATATACAGAGAGGTGGTCAAATCCCCCACTACCTCCCGAATTTCACTGGGCAAGAAGGTGAAGTCGGTCAAGGAGACGATGAGGAAACGCATGTCGAAAAAGTATAGTAGCTCCTTGTCTGAGCAGGTTAGTCACAAGCACATTTGAACACACACAACACACAATGAACATTGTATGTCTTTCTTATTTCTGTGCAGTTGGGTTATGTGTGATCATAGTCGCACCTTAACTTTATTTAGAATGGAGCAGCTAACACGAGCGGTCTCACAAATCCACACATTGTGTTTAATCTTTAGCACAGCTGTAAAGAAATAAAAGATTCCCATGTTCTGCAAACATTTAGAGGAAGCTTTGCAGTGTGAGCCACAGATTCTGTCCACAGGCTGTGAGTGGGTGGGAGTATTTGTGTTAGTTACAAAATAAACACAGAGCACTTAAACACATACCCATGTGGATTATGCTCTCCCTGGGCCCAGTGTGTTGGGTGGAGTGTGTGCTTCATGCTGAGCTCATGCAGTGATGCAAGTCTCCCCCAGGCTAGTTCTTAGGAAATAAGACTGTGTAACGGCTGTTTCTTATGCTCTAGCCTAATTTTTCTGGGCATCCAGTACCTCTACCAGTTTTCTGTCCAGCTCTACAGTTGAATGTCACCTTACAGAACGCGTTATCGTTTCAGTTGAACATCTGTCCATTATGATGGACACTGTGACCCACATATCCTGGCAGGAGTCATGGAGCCATTGGTTGGGAAAGAGCAGAGAAAACTTAACTGCAAAGGCTCAACCATGGATATTTTATAGACCACATTGCCTCCTAGTGGATGTTTGTAATACTGGTTGCTGTTTGTTCATTATTCGTTTTTTATTTTATTATTTCAGAGGACATCTGAAAAGATCAAAATCAGAAGTTAAAATATGTTTTAGCTCCTGATCTTAAATGATTTATGCTAAATCATTTAAGTATTAAATAAAATTGTACCATAATTTAATGCAATTCCTTTTGAAATAAGTTGTTCTGACATTGGACTGTGAGGGCTAATAGAGCAGGCAGAAGAGAAAAGAGTTTTTATAATGTTTTATTGGTTTAATATTTTTGTTAATAGTGCTACCTCTTAATCACGTGTTCCCATCCCTCACATCTTTTCATCTCTTAACTGCACAACATTACCTTTGCGTCTTTCCACTGTGTCCTTTTGTTACCCATGTGCTCTCTCTCTCTCTCCCTGTCTTTCTATTTTGCAGTCCAGTCCGGATGGAGCCCCTGGTTCCCCTCAGTCCCCTCAGCCTGACACTGACTCTCTGGAAAAGCCAAAGCTTAAGGCTGGAGGTTCAGTGGAAAGTCTGCGTAGTTCGCTCAGCGGACAGAGTTCAATGAGTAAGACAAGAACCATTGTTTTAGAAAAGGCATACCAGCTTTTTAAGGCTGATATTTTTAAATGGGTTGTAGGTAGCACAGCATACCTTTTTATGTTTTTTGCTATTGTGAATATGAGAAAAGGTTTTAGAAAATAGCTTTTGCTCCTCCATAATTTCAAACCATTCTCTCTTGATTTCATTTTACACTTTGGCAGCCAATGGAGTGCATTAAGAATATTGTTCAGTAATGTAGTTCTAGGATGACAGTGCATCATCACACAGATCGGTGAAAAAGAAAAAAACTCTACTAAATGAGTGGTCTCTTCCAGGATGACAAAAGGCTAGTAACAAATGTAGTCATTTTCTAGCTTATATACATGATCACATACAGTATATGTCTTTGTGTATAGGTGGTCAGACAGTAAGCACCACCGACTCATCAGCCAGTAACAGAGAAAGTGTGAAGTCGGAGGATGGCGACGACGAGGAGCCACCTTACAGAGGACCGTTCTGTGGTCGTGCCAGAGTCCACACTGACTTCACCCCCAGTCCCTATGACTCCGACTCCCTTAAACTGAAGGTAAAACATACTTTGGCTATGATTATGCACAGTGACTTTGTAGTCACTTGTGTACACAGTCAGTTACCAAATCCTTATAACTCTGGGAGTCTCTACCACAGTGTTTATTTCTTTAATGAGAACTATGATGAAAAATATTTGTTGATGACCTGTTGTTCAGGATGAAAACAAAACTGAATAAAAAGTAAAATTTGATAAAGAGAACTATGACAAAATGTTTTATATTTTTCATCAACAAATAAAAAGTAAAGGATAATGTGAAAGACAGATGAATGAAGTAATTTAACAACCTGCCACGTTTGTGGAATTACAAACCGTAGGTACTGATCAATAAAACTGTTTCCTCCACCAGCCAAAATATCTCCTGTTCAGGAGCTGACTTAGCCGCTTAATGTGTTTAACTGCTGTTTTACATTCAGTAACATTCTGTCTCTGGCGTTAGCGTTTCCTGAAAGAAACAGGTTTATGAATCATATTCATCTACAATCCAGAGAATTACATACCTAAACTGCTGGGACACACTAGGAAAGTGCAGCAGCACACTAATGACAGGGTAGGATAATTTAACATGAAACGCTGTAGATATAGATGTAACAATGTTCCTTTCAGCCGGATTTCTTTTGTCTTGCTATCATTCAGTTCCAGAATTAATACGGGCGGTCAACCATAAATCATCTCTAAAGTTTCGCTGCAGAGATCACTGTTTTAATGTTATCTGACAATTTAGCATCACCTCTCAAGCTGAACCCCGTGAAGAGGATTTTAGTACAAATGTGAGCAAGTCCAACTTCTGCAGAGCAGAGGGACACTGTGAATAGAACACCATTTTCCACAAACCTCACAATAGATGGGAAAAACATGTAACTGTGGTAAAAAAAAATACGGTTTAAAAATTAACAAAAACTAGACACATTTATTTTGTCTCTATTGACTAAAATTTGACTAAAACTAATGTATTCTCGTCAAAAGACTAAAACTAAAACAAAGTCAAATTGAAATTAACACCGCTCTACCACCCACAATCGATTTTTCCTTTGAATTACATTTTGTGGATTTGATGACAGTTTTAACAAGCTGGCGTTAATATTTCTGAACAGCCAACAGGGACAAAGTGTAAAAGCCAGAGTTGGGAAATGTTGCCTGATTTCTTGTCTTTGTGATCCTTCAGCGAGGTGATGTGATTGACATTATCAGTAAGCCGCCCATGGGAACGTGGATGGGCTTGCTGAACAACAAAGTGGGCACCTTCAAGTTCATCTATGTGGATGTGCTAAGTGAAGAAGAGGAGAAACCCAAAAGGCCCACGAGGAGGAGGAGGAAGGGCCGACCACCCAAACCCAACTCTGTGGAGGAGCTGTTGGAGCGCATCAACCTCAAGGTGGAATGCTGTTGTGCTATATTTGGTATTGCCCTGCTCTGAGTACAAAATACAACATATTGGATTTACAGGATCACGTCAGTTCACAAGAACTCAATGGCAGTAAAATGAGTACAGTGTCACGGATTTTGTCTAATCCTTATAAAAATCAGTGTATTGTCAAAGAATCCCACCCATCTGGTACCTTCATAAGAGAAAACATCTTAAAAAGTCAATAAAAATGTTGTTTTAGTCAAATATCTAGAAAAAAATTGCAGACAAGCAGATATAAATACCACATAGGAAATTTCAGGCTGCACAGTTTAGAATGTTTGATCTGACATTGATGACCAAACATTACCACCCACATTCTTACAACCACACCCCAACAAATGCCTCTCATCTTTCATCAGAACCTACTCTTAGCTGCGAGCTTGGTATCATCTCCTCCCAAACAACGAAAGAGGCTTTGTGGATTGTCTGTTTTGTCACTGGCCAGCCTAAAGACTGAGTTACAGATTAAAGATCCAGAGCACATTATTAATGTTGCAAGGCAGAGTTAAGCTGCAAGCCTGGAGGTTACAAGTGCATTAGAGCAGTTAGTCACTTTAGTCACCACCAGATTCCTGGAGTGGGCGAGTTAGACTAAACACACTTTTTAAAGCGTTTCCAGTTTGCAGCCAGTGTGCCTTCTCTTTACCAGGTATTTTAATGACTCCTTCCTTTCTGTGGCCTGTTGATGATGAAACAGTAAAAATAAATTCTGGTCCCACAGTTATTTATCCAGGATAAATAAGCATCATTTGCATTTGGTTATAAGAGGGATTTTTTTTTTTATAGCAATATGTAAAGCACAGATTTTCCTGCTTCAGGGTGCAGCACTTATTTTCTGCAGTGGGTCTCAGATTTCTGTCTTTTCAAATCAAAATCAAATCAAATTTTATTTGTATAGCGCCAAATCACAACAAAAGTCATCTCAGGACACTTTACAAAGTAAGGTCTAGACCTTACTGTTATCACTATTATTACATAGGGAAAACCCAACAAATCCCCCTTGAGCAAGCACTTGGCGACAGTGGGGAGGAAAAACTCCCTTTAACGGAAGAAACCTCCGACAGACCCCGGCTCTTGGTGGGCGGCCTTCTGCCTCGACCGGTTGGGGTGAGTGGATAGAGGAGAGACAAAAGAAGAAAAG